TTTATATTTTGAGTTAATATATGTAGATATAGTTTCATTTTGTCTATGTACTATACTTTTTGTTATAAATATAGTACATTTAATCAATAAAAATCAAAATAATTTATATTATTATTTATTTATATAATTAACTAAAACTATTCAATTTAAATTCAAATAATATATTTTACTCATCATTTGGTCTAAGAACTATATTTATGTATTCAAATTAGTATATAGTTTAAAATATTAATAATGATAATAATTCAAATTAAACATTTCTTTAATAATTATCTACTCATCAGATTTTAAATTAAACAACAAGAATAAAATTTATTAAAATTTAAAAAAGTAGAACTAGTTTTATACTAATACAAATACTATGAATTACTATTATTCTCACAAATATTAAAACGTCAAAGTATTTTTTAGATACTTTTTTTTATGAAAAACTATTAGTATAAGAAATTATTACATTATTTTATATGAAAGAAGCGACAAATTCGCTTAATGTTTTTGTATAAATCTGCCAATTTATTACTTGATTATTGCTCGAAAAAAAACGGTACGATTCCCGTTTTATTCAACTAAGTTGATGTAATTGTTACACCAATTATTTAGTTCGAACGAAAACATGAATACAAAACTCGAAAAGAATAAACGTGTTTTATGAGTAATATCTTTCTGTACTATGCGAATATCTGTGGTTTGGTTTTAATGAACAATTTGAATGCAAACGTGACAATTAGATTATATAAGAATTTTGTTTTTAGTTGTTGGTGTCTTTTTTGTCTTCAAAGCCCCCGTCTCATTCATTATCTGTTACTGTGTGAGTGCTCTTTGCGATGCCATTGATGGTAACTTGGCGCGTGCCTTTAATCAATGTTCACGTCTTGGAGCCGTTTTAGACATGGTGACTGACAGAGCTGGTACTACTATTTTAATCACTGCATTAGCAGTATTATACCCAACGTATGCTCCAATCTGCTGTTTAATTACCTTTGTTGACATTTGTAGTCATTGGACACATATGTACTGTTCTCTACTCCGTGGTGTCGAAAGTCACAAAATCGTCACTAACCCAATCCTCAAATTCTATTACACCCGTTCAATCTTGTTCACCCTGTGCCTCGCTAACGAAGCTACCTTCGTCATGTGGTATATCAGATACTTCGCACAAACAGACGACTATAAACCCTTGATTACAAACTGCCCTTTCTTGTGGTATTTGCTCAACTTCTTATTGATTATTGCAACACCACTCTGCGTCGTAAAGAACTTAATTAACTTGGTCCAATGGTATGAGGCTGCTAAGGATTTAGTCGACTACGAGGAAACCCACAGAAAACCCAATTGAACATTCGTTAATTTCATATGCTTTTTAATTATTAGAGTTACTTGAATAATACCAATACTAATAAGTAATTAACAAATATGTTATTATTTAATAACTATTTATATTCTTATTCTTATTATTCTATTTTCAATTTTGTTAATGAAGAAACTATCAAATGTAATAAATTTAATTATATTACTACGAAAATAATTATTTATTTATAAAATGACTTTTTAATGGAACTTCTTTAAGACTTTGCTTTACGGAGATACCACACTTGAATACTATATAAGGGAGTAACTGTCATATGAAAACGAATGATACTACTGTTTTTGGTTATTACATTGACATGTTGCAAGGTAGTAACAGATAAAGATGTGACTTTCGACTGCAAAGAGAATGGACTTTATTGTATTGAAGATGGGAAACACGACAATTTGTATTTTGAATGTTCTAATTACTTCCGTGGACTGAGACCATGTGCTCCAGGCACGCAATGCATTGGTAATGGTCAAAAAGAATATGGGTATAACCCATGCGGAGTCAAATCCAATGAACCAACAACGCCATCGGTCACTAAAAGTGAAGAGAAGAGCATCGATAAGAAGTCAGAAGAGTCAAAGATTCCAATAACTCCCCCAATCGACAAAAGTGGAGAGAATGCCATATGTAAAGAAGATGGATTTTATTGTACTGGTGACAACGAACATAGTACCCAATATTATATCTGCTCTGAGACTTATAAGGGATACTCTAAATGTCCTCTCGGAACCAAATGTGGAGCCAATGGGCATTATCCATTCACTATCAATCCGTGCATTCTTGATGGGTATATTTTTAAATCAACTGAGAACAGCGAAGTTAAAAGTGTTGAGAAGAGTACAGAGAAGTCTTCAGAAGTGGATGTTAATGGTATCGATTGCAAGGAAAATGGATATTACTGTGTGGAAGATGGTAAACACGACTACCAGTTCTATGTCTGCGAAGACACTTTTAAGGGTTTCATGAAGTGCCCCGTTGGTACCAAATGTGCTGGAGCCACAACTAAGCCATACACGTCAAGTCCTTGTGTTTTACTTGGGGAGAAATCTGTTGAAAAATCACTTGAGAAATCAGTAGCAACGCCTTCAGTCGATAAGAACGAAGATATTCCATCTTGCAAAGAGGAAGGGTTGTACTGTGTATTTGATGGTAAACACGATCATGAGTATTATATCTGCACAGAAGCGTATAAAGGATTTTCTAAATGCCCGAGTGGGACAGTTTGTAAAGGCAATGGGAGATTCGATCTTAAAGTTAATCCTTGTGTCGAAGACACCACTTTGATTACTGAAACGTCCAAAGAAGAGTCTAAAGAGAAGAGTGAGCACAATTCGGAAACATTACAATGCAAACAAGACGGGTTGTATTGTGTTATTGATGGAAAACACAACGAGATGTATTATCAGTGCTCCGACTTCTTCAACGGGTTTAGAGCGTGCCCTAAAGGAACATGGTGTAAAGGAGAACAAGACAAGCCTTATGAAACAAACCCATGCGTATGGTATGACGATACAACCTGGGCAAAGAAGAATTAAAGACTAATTATTGATTTTTAATGCTTATTCTTTATAAATTATATAATATATTTACTATTCATATATAGTATATTGGAATAAATCGACTGAACGAATACTAAGCAATATTCGGTGATACTTTGATATAAAAAATTCTCCACCGTGTTTCATAGACAATTATGGAATTGTAATAGTCTCTACTTTTGTATTGAAGAATGCATTTTTAAAGTTCAATTGGTCGCCCACAAATAAACTATATTGTATTAATAACGAAACTATTGTTTATATTATAATAGAAACATATCTTTTTCTCATTTTCTTTAGATTTTCGACAAAAAGAGAAACTTCAAAACCCTTGTAAAAAAAGATGACAACCGACGCAACAAATCAGTACCTCAAACAGAAAATATGGCAGTCTTACGCGCCATATTATTATGACGTCTTCATCAACATGGCAACCCCCACCGTCTCAATGGCATTTGATTGGTTACAATCTGAGTCTTCTAACACGTTGTACCAACAAGATTTTGTGATTGGCTCACCTCACGGCAACGGTGTGAGTGTCGGTCGTGTTCTACTTCCGAAGGAGAGTAGTGTGGTGAAACAAACTGATTATATCAATGGGACTATCGGGTATTACGACATCCCCACAGGATACGAAAAGGTCCGCCTTTCCAAGCAGATTCACATCATAGATGATGTGAATCGTATCCGGCATATCCCCAATACTTCTAAAGTGTTGCTTCAATCTGGCGGTAAGCAGACATCGATTTTGGATGTTGAGAGTGAAAAGTACGATGTTGTTGGGAAACAGACGGACGAAGGGTTTGGGCTCAGTTTGTGTGAGAGTGACGCCAACCAATTTGTGACGTCGACGAATGACGGGTTTTGCTTCTTCTGGGATTTAAAGATGTTGAAATGTTCTAAAGTGCGGGTGGACAAAGTGAATGACGTCGACTGGTCTTCTATCAATTCGTGTATAGCTGCTGTAACGGATCGAGGGGAGATCGTTTTAATTGATGAAAAGAGCAAAAACGTGACACCAGTGAAGGTTGGGTCTGGGATGAATTGTTGTTCTTTTTCTCGGCTAGTAACACACGTATTAGCAACTGGGGATGTCGATGGTATAGTCAAGTTGTGGGATATAAGAACATTAGAGAGGCCCCTCTATACACTCACTAAACACAAAGATGCTATTAATGTCATTCAATTCTCCCCACACTTGCCTAATTTGTTGATGGCAGGTTCCAAAGATTCAACAATAAACATTTTTAACTTGGCACATGTCGGAACAACTAAAGATGTCGCCGTTTGTTTTTTGAGTTCAATACAAACTTTGAGGAATTTCACTGGTTCTACGAATAGTTTTGGAATGGTTTCAATATAGTTTCAATAAGCTTCTAACTATTAGTTCACACACGCCGGACATAGCTTCGATATCATGGAATCCCGGTGGAACCCGGATATCTGCGGGTTTGTGGGGTCTGTTGCTGAAGAATTTAACGTGCATATATGGAGAAGTGCTGATGTATTTAATTGATTGAATTGTTTACAACGGCTGATTTTATTTACTATACGTCTAGTTTTATTAATAGTTATTTTCTTCTTTTAGATGTTTTCATTTTATTGTTATAGAATTATTGAACAAATTCTATAACAATAATTAATTATAGTAAATTGAGTAACTATTCGAATAACACATCGAAAGACAACTCTAAAAATCATAATATACAAAGTGATGTTCTTATTACTATTATTACTTATTTCGTTGGGGTATAGCATTCCACCACCAACAACTATGGCACCTAATGCAATGTCTCCACAACGACCATTTGCTATGAACACACAAGAGTTGGAGCGTCAGATGTTAGAGAAACATAACCAAGACTTACGATTTTTAGTCGATAAATATCTGTTAGACCAACAAATGAAAGGATCACTACGAAACGCTAATCGACGACTTTTCAGAGAAATGAAATTAAACAATTTGGACGCAAAGGCGACGTTTCACCGCACTTTAGCGATGCGGGGGTCGTCTCCAAATTACAAACCGTCGATTGATAAGTGGCACCAACTCGAGTTGAACTCCAAGTTCCTTCGACGTATAGCAAAGACTTCACTTCATAACAATTTGGACTATACCGGCTTATATACAAAAGCATTCAAAGGTGATGTGAACTTCCCATTACTCAAACATATCTACAAACGGGCCGATTTCTTGAAGACAGGCCCGAATAAAGCGTTCAACACTTTTATTCGGCCAGACGGAGATCTTTCTATTGATGACATCGACACCGACGCTAATTATTGGGCTAACAAATACTTCGCGAGAAAATAAATACAATTGACTCTTCATTGACTGGAATTGGGTTATAATATTCAATTAGACAACACAACAACTAACTCAAACAGCGCATTGTTCGACTTGGGAAGAATATTGGTGACTACATTCACACTGAACCCTCGCATCTCTAATGACCCATAAAAGACGCCTTGTAAGAAGTTAAGGTAATACAACATCACATCATCCTCTTCATTCGCTTGTGAAAATGAAGAAATCGAGGAAACAAAGGGCGACTGCTTCACACAAATCCGCATCGTTTTTTGTGCCTCGGTGTAGACACACGACGCTGAACCAAAAAAGGAAGAACACCACGTCGCTTCCGTTAAGTATTTGATGGCATCCTCAAAGGTCGTGACTGCTTTCTCGATATCGGAAAACCTCTCCGTCAATCGCTTGCCTACATCATACCCAATGTGGTTGATTCGTATTTTTGTCTCTTCGGGGTCTTCACCAGACCTCTTCCCACTATTCGCCAATTCCATCAACAAATAGTCAAATGTCGATTGTGAGACTTCTTTGTTTTTCATTATTGTTATTTGCAGTTCTATGTTTTATAGTTAGTGTCTGGTCTTTCTGATATATATGTTATAATATATATATATATATATTGTTATAGAAACATATCCAATATGTCAATTACCCCGTCATATCTTTCTTTCTCCCACGAAGTCGCACTTCATCCAAATGCCGAAGAATTTCTGCACTATTGTTTGCCGTCTCTGTGTATCCTTCTAATATACTTTTGAACTACTCGTGAATTAATGATATATATATTATGATTTATTATATTGTATAGAATAAATAGATTATAAATAAATAATAAAAACAAAACTATAACATCTGCATTGTAATGGGTGCATAAAATTGCACGCTCGAGGACGTATAAGTCGACGGCTCGATTTTCAGTTGTTTCCGACTTTGTGGTCAACCCAAAATCAATGACAACCATATCACCAGTTGTGTTGACCATGAAATTTGAAGTTGTCAAGTCGCCATGAATGAATCCGTTCTTGTGGATTGTTCCAATGAGTCTCCCGAGTGCGTGCATCGCTTTCAACGCATCAGGTGTGTACTTTCCGTCCACGTAGTGTTGTGTCAAAAATCGCTTCAAGGTGACGCCGTCAATATACTCCATCACTATATCCAATTGATTACAAAACAACACTTTTGGGCATGGGACATTCAACTCCGAAAACCGTTGCAACATCCTGTTCTCGTTGTTCACCCTTCTTTTATTCATCGACTTGTCGAGTGTTGGTTCGCGATACGATTTCGGGAACCGGTGCTTTACCAATACTGTTCCTTTTTGTGTGGCAATTTTGTACATAATGGCCTCTGCGCCTTGGCTTATTTTATCCTCGGCTTTGAGGTTTTGTAGTATTTGCTTGTAGTCCACTTCGCCCATCAAAAGAAATTTTCAGTTATTTGTATCGTTTTAAATAGCAAAGAGTATAATAAAATTTATCATAAATTATAGTTTGTTATTGTATTAATCACAGAAATAAAATAACTATTGAAATAGCTATAATCTACTATACGTTTTGCAAAAAAAATGAAGATGGCGAATAACAGAATGAAAGAAGAGAAGAAGGCAAAAAAAGTGGGGATGGACAATGAATAGTGATTTTCATCACTACATGGAGAGGTTATCAGTAACCCCTTCACTTGGATATCAGAGCATGCTGTGGAAGTTTGAAAAAAGAGTCCCGTATACACCTTTAATTCCAAGCGTCAACCACATTGGTCGAAGACTAAACATCGAAATCTTGCAAGAAATGGAAGTAAGTGGAGTTGTTGACGACTTCTACTTGAACTGCATCGACATAACCTATAAAGGGGTGTGCGTGGGTTTGGGAAACGTCATATTTCGTGTCGATAACGAAACAAATGAGGTACAGAAAATATTGAGAGGAGATGGTGTTATTTCAAACGTGTCGTGCAGAGGAAACCATGTCTTAGTTGGGTTCTGTGATGGTAGTATAACGGTAATCGATATGACAACAAATTCGGTTACATCATCCGAACCGCACAGCGACAGAGTTGGGAGAATGGTCGAACTTGAGAACCAAACAGTCATGAGTGGAAGCGCTGACGGGAGTATCTGTGTCACAGACCCGAGGGAGGGAATGAAACCGACGTGGCAATTTGTTATTGGAAGCGAAGTGTGTGGACTAGACGTGAACGAACCTTATGTTTGTGTGGGAACAAGCAATCACTCTCTTGACATTATCGACCTGAGGTTCCCAAAACACTTCCTATACACGAATCAATCGCACAAGTCGGCGGTAAAGGCAGTTGTATTTGAACCATCAAGAACAAGTGTTATTTTCAGTGGTGGTGGAAGAAAAGATTTGTCGGTTCAGCGTTGGAACGTTATCACGAATGAAAGGTGTATTGTTGATGTTAAAAACCCTGTTGTTGGTATTGGATTTTACGAAGGCTACATCATCGGCTTTGTTGGAGCTCCTCAAAATGGTGTCGTTGTTCTTGATGATAAAATGGTGGTGTTGGAGAAACGGAGCGGGCATACCAAACGGATAGTTGCAGCGAGTAGAATTGGAAATGGTGGTGTGTGTGCAACCCTTGGATCAGATTGTTTTGTTAATATATGGCATTTGTTCTGCTTTTGTTTGTTTTAAATTTTTTGTTTTTCTGTAGTGATTGTCCAATCAACATAAGACAAAACAAACACATCGAATAATTCGAAATCAAATCCATTAGTTGGTATTCCAAATGGAATGTACAAAATGCACAATAAAAGTTACAATTCCACAAATAAGTTGTCTTGTTTTTTCTCGATTTGTTAAATAAGATGGAGAATTATTCAGTTTTTTAATGTAATTTATTTGAGATTCAATCGACACAAAAGTTCACAATTTGTTTTAAACAATAAACAGAGTCAATTGAAAGTCCACATATAGTCGGTTTTTATTAGAAACTATTTAGTTTATTAAAAAACATAACAATAACAAATAAAACAAAAAGAAATGGTTTTAATAACGAAGGTTTTAACATAATGATAGTATCAAGGTTATCACAAAATTCAGAAAAAGAACAAGTAAAACCAAAGCGATGTCGAACGAAGTGATGTGCATCAGCTCTTATGTATGCTCTGGTTTTGTCGGAAACCGTTGTGGGATGATAATATTAGACCACTTCCAGATCCAGGGCATTTTTGTGTTGACCACACACTTTTCAAATCACACACAATACAAGCACTTGGGTGGAAGTTGTATGCTTGAAGCAGACATTAAGTCGATTTTTGAGGCAACCAGCGCAAACTCGTTAGACAAAGATATGAAGTATATCATCACTGGTTATTTCCCGTCATCTGCTTTAGTCGACATTACCATCGAGAAGGTGAAAGAATACAAACAGAAAGGAATTTTCTTCCTTTGTGATCCAATTTTGGGGGATGACGGTCGACTGTACACAAAACCGGAAGTGAAGGAATCAATGAAGAAACTTGTTTTATACGCAGACTTAATAACACCAAATGCGACAGAGTTAGAGTGTTTGTCTGACCAAAAAGTGAATTCAGTGAACGACGCTTTACAGGCGTGTTCCGTATTACACAACAAAGGTGTTAAGACCATCATCGTCACTTCAATCAACGATGGCGATGACATCATTCTGTTGTGTAGCTTCTACAAACAAACAGACGTCAACAAAAACTTCAAAGTGAAGATCCACCGACTCAAAGGCTTTTTCACAGGCGTTGGCGATACGTTCACATACACCCTTTTTGCTTGGATCAAGCAAGGTGTCCCCATTCCAAACGCAGTTAACAGAACTATTTCTACTCTCCAGACTATCATCAAAAACACCACCGGTACTGACGAGATCAACTTGATTCACTCAACGCAGTTCCTCAAGAGCACTGACGAGCTTTTCACTCTTGAATATTTGAATTGAATTTTAATTTAAATGTAGTTTATTAATAGTAAAATATAGAAAATGTTATTCATTTCCCACTAAAACATGCAAAGAACTTGAATAAAAAACAGAAGAGAATTGAATAGTAAAGTCAAGTAAACATATAGTAAAATTGCTAACTCGAAAAGAAAGAGGGGAAACCCTAGAAACAAAGAAAGTAATGGCCGAAGCACAGCAAGTCCAACAAGCTCCCGCCGTTGAGCAAGTCGTTGCCCCCGTTGCCGTCGAAGTAGCCCCAGCCGCTAAAGGCTTTTCTCCACGTTTGTTCAATAAGTGGAACTACGATGAAGTCCATGTCCCCGACATGTCTTTGGTCGACTTAATGGCGATCAACACAAAGTCAAAGTATAAAGTCTTTTTGCCCCACACCGCTGGAAGATATGCCGTCAGACCATTCAGAAAAGTCCAATGCCCAATTGTTGAGAGACTTGTCTGCTGCTTAATGCAACACGGAAGAAACTCGGGAAAGAAATTGTTGGCCATGAGAGTCGTTGAAGAGGCGTTCGATATCATCCACTTGCTCACTGAACAGAACCCAATTCAAGTCTTGGTCGAGGCTATTTGCAACGCTTCCCCATGCGAAGATTCAACTCGTGTCGGTACCGGTGGAAACGCTAAGAGACAAGCCGTCGATGTCTCCCCAATGAGAAGAGTCAACCAAGCTCTTTACTTGATGACTATGGGGTGCAGAACTGCTGCTTTCAGAAACTCAAAGACTCTCGCTGAGTGCCTTGCTGATGAACTCGTCAACGCTTCGAAGAAAAACACCGCCTCATTCGCTATGAAGAAGAAAGAAGATATGGAACGTGTTGCTAAGTCTAACAGATAAACGGTCATTGATTATTGGTGTGATTTGGTTCTCTGTACTAGTTATTTTTTATTAAAATATTATAATTATTAATACAATTTATTGTTTTTGTTTTGTGGTGTAGGGCTTCTGAATGGTTTTTCATAATTTGGATATAGTACATCTCCCACGAAAAACAACTATTAAGTAATAGTAACTTAATAATAAAAACAATTCTACATGACAGCAAGGAAAAGAAAAGTTAATAGTTAAAAGAATAGTAAAAAAGAAAGGAAAGGGTTATAGGGTTTGAAGGTGAACTGATCCGACAATCCTCGAGGTAGATGCCAAAGTTGTTGAAGAAGACCGAGCACGTAGAGATTCCATCGAACGTCGAATTGACGATCAAACAGAAGGAGGTCACCGTGAAGGGCCCAAGAGGAGAGTTGAAGAAGAAGTTCAACCACCCAAAAATCGACGTGTACAAGAGCAAGGCATCATTGAAGAGAGACACCCCAGTGGTTGATGTTGTTGTCGTTGATATGTGGTATGCTACTAAGAGAGACGCTGCTGTAGTTAGAACTGTTGCTACTTTGATTCAGAACATGATTATTGGTGTTACTAAGGGTTACAGATATAAGATGAGAGTCGTATATGCCCACTTCCCGGTCAATCTTGTCATTGCTGATGACAAGAAGTCGATCATCGTCCAAAACTTCGTTGGTGAAAAGAGAGCCAGAAACGTCCATATGTACGAAGGTGTCACTATCGAAAAGCTCGGAAAGGACGAAATCTGCTTGGAAGGAAACGACGTCCAAGCCGTCTCACAATCTGCTGCCAACCTCCACCAAGCTAACCAAGTCAAGAATAAGGATATTAGACAGTTCCTTGATGGTATCTACGTGTCTGAAAAATGTCTCATCGATGCTTAATTCCGAGGATTTATTGTTGCTCTTTATGTTTCTTTTTTAGGGTTTTTTGATTGGTCTTAATACTTTTATATGCTTGTATATTATATCTATTATATATGTATTCAATTATATACATTAATAGTAATATAATATCTTATATATATCATATATAATTGATATATACATTAATATTATAATAATATATGATTAATAATTATAATAACATTTTATTACAAATGTTATTAGATTTATTAGTTTGGCGAAGCTCAATTGTGACTGAAAAATGTTATACAAGAAATGTCGAGGAAAGACGCAAGAGACGACTTCACGCGAAGAATGGAGGAAGAGAATACACGACAAAAGAAAAAGAAGAACTTTGGGTCGCGGGATGCAAAGATTTTACTCCAACAAGACCCCCTTCAAGACACCAACCTTGAGAATACTACCGATGAAACCTCTTCCTATTCTGAAGTTGGCAAAAATTTAAGTTCTGAAGAAGAAGACCCGAATTATAAGGACACGACTACTATGTTCTTGGACCCAAAAGAAGTCTTTAAAAACGAATCTTTGTGTGCGGGACCACAATTAAATGACCCAATTGTACCATTTAATATTGACACTCCACTCGCAACGACCGACATCACACAAATCAAAATGCGAAGAAGATTTGACCAATTGGACGATTTAAGCACAAGCAAACAAAAAGTAATCAAATTTGATCCCAATGAAATCGCGATTAAAAACGCATTTTTAGACATATTTGGTAACGACTGGAAGACCAGACAAATGTCGCGATTTGTCGACGATTTGCAAAATGCCACAAACACCATTTTGAAGACTACACGCGAGATCAGAGGAGACGCCACTTATGTTTTGCCTGTTATTGGCATCTCTTCGTCGTCAGTTGATTACACGTCTTTCTTCAAAAAACTGTTAAGTGGAAATGGCGCGCTTTTTGGAACAAGTCCAGACGTGAAAAACTGTTGTGAGAATGTGCTGTACATCGTTGACTCCCCACAAGATGACAACGTCTCGATAGTTGAGAATCTTTGGAGAGATTCCGAAGACACAACGCGGACATTGTTAGTTGTTCCAAGTTTGTTTTACTTCATATAACTCTATCTATTAACACAGTAGTTGCAGAGACTGTATTGGAAGCAAAAGAGATGTTACTTGGACTTCGATGTCCCGAGGTCTTAATGACTCCGATAATACTAGATTTAAATATGTACGTTGAGACTTGCGAAGATGTGTTACTTGAAGATATGAAGAGTGGAGTGTTACCGATAATCCATCCATTCATAGTCGCAAAAGGCATTATGTATTTCAGAGACTTTCACCAGTCGTTCATCTTGTTTTTAGACTTTTTGATATCACATGTGGAACACTCAGTGATCTTATCGCATCCCTCTCTGATCATTCCAAATTTTTTTGAGGGGGTTCTAAGCGAGAAAGAGGGGGAATATGTCGAGGAGTATTACCAACTCTTCATCTTGTTTTTCGGACAACTGCTCACGTCGCTTCAAGTGTTTATGTTTGTTCAATACAAAGTGATGTATCATCCATATTCAGCCCTATTAAAGTACATGGACATTGGGAAGAAAATCGACGAATTTGCGTTTCCAACGAAGTTTGAGGGGATTACACCTAATAAATACTCAGATGAGAAATTGCTTCAAATTGTGAGTTCTATTAATGAAACACCTTCAAGTGAGAGTTTTAAAGGACTTGTAGAATATATTGCAAATGTCTTTGGTGGTATTGTGATGTTACACGACGAGTACGCCGAAATGATGGAATTGGCTTGTGTGTCGACAGAACTTGACTTTGAAGTCAAATCAATTTTTGAAATTATTAGGAAAAACAAGAAGAAACAAGAACGTGTGGATTTAAGGCAGTATGAGGCACTCTTAGAAAAAGCAAGTAAAAACCGAATCACTACAGAGGAAGCACTGGAGGTGATAGCAACTTCGGGACTGTCGGCATACGCCGGCAATGCGCTGGAAGGAGAAAATGAAGGGGTACATGTCACTAAGAACCACATCAACATTTTAAAGCAATTTATAACATTCAACATCTTCAGCTATAGTGGAAAGTCGCTTTCTTCTAATGAAAAGTATTTC